TTGTGTCTATCTACAACTAAAAGTATTTTTAGGAAAATACATTTAAATTTAATTATTTCTCTTCTCTTTGCTCAATTATAAATCTAGAACTAATGAAGAGATACATACTCTGAAAGCTACCAACAGAATTCAAGAGAGAGAATTCTATCATTAATCAGCAAGGTTGATATTAGAAGTCATTTAGATAAATATAAATGTATATTTAAGTGTGGCATCAAAGAGTCAGTTACTGTTTTGAAAGAATGAATCTCTTCACACAGTGGTACTTTTTTCTTATCTATTCATGTTTATATCACTTGGTTCATTTTATACATCAGGTAATCTAAAGACTTTCTGGGGCAGTTTTTCAAAAGAGGTTTAAAAGAAACTTCTAGTCATAGAAAATTGTAGCCTCTTGCCCTGATTGTCAGGTCATCATTTTTACTTATTTATGCAAATCAGTGATCATGTACTTTCATATATTATGAACATAATAATGACTCTGCCTGTAGAGTTAATATTTTGCATGTGTATATTTCATCTGCTTTGAAAGGACTTTCCAAATGTTTCATTTAGTTATTGAAACTCTCTACTTGGTACAGTTGATTGAATGTGATGGTAAACATATACTACTCTTTGTCTTCCAGTGAACTGTTTCATTATCCTTGATTGTAGATTACTGACAGAATATTATGATTACAGTAGAGTTGCAAATGTCCAAGTCCTAAATAATAGCTATAGGTAACCCCATGGGGGAAGATTCCTAATAATTTTCTAAGTTTTCTGTGTCAGTGGCAGGTTTCATGCATATACTCAGCTATTAAAACATTAGAGTTTCTTTCATTTCCTAATCATTAACAACTTTAGTTCTGATTGCCCATGGAGTTGCAAGCTGTTAAAATGATCGTTTGCCTCTTACTAATTTTGAAATCCAAAGCTGTTTCTTCCTTTGATGCAGTGCAGGTCATTATCAAGAACACACCATAACTCAAGAGCATACATTTGTAAAATAAATGGGGGTAAAGGAAGGATAATACTTTTAAATACTGAAAGTTCAGGTTTTAAAGAATTCAACACAGAGGGGTTTGTTTGTTTTCAATAGAAAGAATGTTTTTATAATTTAATATTTATAAATGATTTGTAAAGAGTGCAAAGAGGCAAGAAACTATAAGTTCTGTTTCATTGCTAAAAATTTAGTTGAAATTCAACCAGAATTAAATAATGTAGAATTATCATGTTAATAGAATATTTAAAAACTTAGAGAAAAATCATTTATACTGAACCTTTTAAAAACCCTGAACTTATCGTGCCCTATGTATAGTAAATGCTCAATAAATATTTGTTAAATTCATTAAAAGTATGTTAAGATTAACTGATGGCATGATAAAATGAAAAGTTATCTTAATCATTCATTCTCCATTTAAAGATATTTATCATGTATTTCAAATTTAGTTCATGGGGGAAATAGAAAACTGATGAATTTTTTTTTTGAAAATTGGCTCTTCTCTAATGTTAATGGGTATATTTCTACAACATTGGTCTGAAGGACTCCTTACTGGGTCAAGAGGCTCCTATGGACTAGGACTGTGCATGCTGCCTAGAAAACATCTCAGAAGCATGTAATACCAGTTGCTAAGCCCCATTCTCAAAGATTTTATTAGGTAGGTCTTGAGTGAGCCTTGATATTTGAATTTTTGTATTTGAATTTTTTAGGTATTTTACATATTTAATTTATAGGTATAGGTATTTGTTTAGCCTATTGTTAATGTGGTTGTTTTTGACTCCTTGTTAAACTCCCTTCTCTTCTGGGAAGACCCAAACCTCTGAGATGACGGTAGGAGATAGAATGTTTTTCTTAAATATGGAATCAGGCAGATGAACATCCAGCCCCTTGCTGCCCAATGTTTCTGGTTTCTGGGGATTTCTTGCAAGCACTAATCCAGTGTCAAGCAATAAACTTTGAATGTGCCACTGTGTGATTCATTACTTAACAAAGAGGAAAAGCAAAAGTTAACATTACCTAGAAGCTCTTCCATACTTTCAGGCTCACACTAATGCAACCCCCTGCCCTTGCTGGTGCCATTCTTCGTAGAGCTTTTTGAACTCTGTCCCTGGAGTCTAGCATGAGTCACAATATAAGTTTCCGGTTTACAGCACTTCCACCAAGGAAATACCCATACAGTATTATCTGTGCCTGTCTTTCAATCTACTATTCATCTTTCTATCCTTATTCTTATGGTTATAATAAAAGCACTCATTTCCCAGCTCTGACTGTATTTTCTCTGTGTTTCCCTTCATCCCCACTATGTAAGAGCTTTTCTAAAGTACTGACCTATACATTTTCTCCTGGATTTGTCAGTTTATCTCCTTCTTTCCTTGTAAGCTGGCCTTGATGCATTTGCCATCTCCCACTTAATATAGTAGACCTCTAATTAGTGCTTCCCACTCAATCTTATTAAACATCATACATCAATTTTGATTCATTGTGATTTTGACTGCATATTAAAAATACAATATCTCCTACTCATAGACACTTACACTGTGTTTGATACAATGATAATGCTGTCTTCTTAAAGAAGAAGGTAATTTTGCTTGTAGGTTATAGGCTTGCTAAGCACTGTGTGCAGGTAGATTGTGGCATAGCATCTGTCCTCAGAAAACTTATTCTAAGAGGAGTATATGACATTTTTTCCCCACTTGTCCTTGGTTTCATGTCTTTAATACTAGGTGCTATATATGGCAAAGGAACATTATAAAGCACAGCTGGGCAGAGTATCATAATTACTTTATAAACTCACATTTAAACTTAGTAAGTTAAAGTCTATAGGAAATATTTTTTTTTCCCTCTTCTCCGGCGTAAACGATTCAGATTCCTTTAACTACTTTGGTTAAACTCTGTGAATTCCAAACTCCACTAACTTAAATTAAGAAACATAAACAGTTTTCAGATATATTGTTAGTGATATAAAATTTCATAGTTGAAAAAAAAGAGCTAAAATCAAATTTAAAAATAAATGAGAATAAGAAACTTCCCTAAATGAAATAAGAATGTAATCATTCAAGTCTGCTAGAACAGAATGATTAAGTAACTGCTTCCTTACACAAGTACACAAAGTACTTGGCTCACAAAGGGTTAGGGTTAGGGTTAGTATTAAGAGAAAAAATGCAGAAAAAACATTAGATTTTTCATAAATGACACTTCTAACACATCTTCCATCGTCTTTGGTATGGTCCTGAATGGGGGAGGGGGGAACTTTCCAGAAGATTTTTCTATTCAATAAAAGAGTAGGTTTAAATGTCTGGCATAACTTCTTTATGCAAATTTTAAAAAATACACAGTGAATCTCACCATTATGTATATCCACAAGAAATTACTTAAAAGAAATAACTATGGGTAAAATGACAGAAATATCAATAGAGGAAAGGGAGCAAATGGTGGGGAGAGAGAAAAGGAAGGAGAGGTACTGCATTCCTAAGTTAGAACAAGATATATTCCATGCTTGTGGAATTATGTCAAAATGGATTTTACTGTCATGTATAACTAAAAGAACCAATAAATAAAAGAGTATATTTTTATATATTAGAAAGTACCAACTAATATTTTGTTGTTGAGGAGGTCATCCCTAAAGTTATAACCATAGAATGAGATGAGTTGTACCATTTTCACCCGGCTCATCTTTGACTTATCTTTGCTTTCCATAGTTGTTTGTCAGCTACTGTAACATAAAAAATAAATGTCAATATCACTATGAGAAACTTTGAAATTTTCATGAAAGTTTCATTTTTCTAAGTTATAATTGATAACATGCAAGTCTGAATCATTTCCTAAGTAGCCTGAGCATTATTTGTGCGATGCTTCACCAGATCCATTCATTTCATACCTGTTGTCAGAGTACAGACATCTCTAAGTATATAGTAATCACAAGTTAGGGGCACTGATATTTACAATAACTTCACACTATTGATGTAGTTGAATTTTGGTTTAAACAAGGGTTAAGTAGGTGGTGAGAATATCTAGTTCTTATGTTTATAAACACAGTTGAAAATAGCAATAAAGGAAGGACAAATATGATAATGGGAATGAAGCTATTTCTAGGTGATAAGTTTATTGTAGATTATTTAAAAATTCTTTTCTCTCATTTCTAAAATGAAGAAAAATACTTACAATCTGAGAAAAGAAGAAATTAGAGCTGCCGCTTACTTATTTTATGTACACTTGTCCTAGAAGACTTGCCTGAGATGTTTTATATATGATTTTTCTCTTCTAAAAAGTTTTTTTTTCTTTTTCTGCTTGCTGCTGATGTACATTTTTTTCTATTTTAGCAATATGAAAAGCACATAAGGTCATATAAATAAGATCTAAAGATAAATACACGCTGTAGCTGACTTTTTTCTTTTATTTTGGTAAACTAGGTTTGTAGATGTATTATTGCATGTATTTTGCTGCAAAAGGATGCACATAGTCTTTGTATTTGCAAATGTGGATAAGAGTCTAGAGAAATGAATGTGTTGAGATGCATATGAGATTTTAGGAAATATGAAAACAGTATGATGAGATTTATAGACTGATTATATTTATAAATACTAATAAGTTGAAAGCCACTCATCAACATTTTTTAGGTCCCAGTAGGCTCCTAGATCTTAGTTCAAATTCAAGTTCCAGTGTATTAAAAATGTTTCTAACTTGATCCATTGGCCTCTAAAAGTTTTCAAAATATGTACTAATACTAGAAGCCTGGACATCTGCTGTTGCCATCCATAGAAATACCTCATAATTCTTTCATTCTTATGTAAATTTCTGGATTTTCAAACATGGTTCCTTTTCCTGTTATTCTTTCCCCTTTGTTCTTTTCACTATTCGGGAAAAAATGCCTACATCCTAACTTTATGAAATTGTTAAGGGAAAAAAATTCCTACAACTATCATGAGACATTAAAGATAAATTACAACTGAATGCCTTGGAGTTCGAGATAGTACAAAAAAGTAAGGAATAATTGTTTTTTTCCATCTAATATTTTTAGGTACAAGCCTATGCAGAAAGTGGATGGGGTTGCAGATGGTTTCACAGGAAGTGGTCAACAGACAGGCACATCTGTTGAGCAAACTGTAATTGCCCAAAGTCAACATCATCAACAGTTTTTAGGTATGTTAAGGTGTACTGCCTATTAGTTGCTCTTGGGATTTTGAAGAGAACAATAATTCTTTTCTCCCAGTACAATGTCCGTTACAGATGTTAATTACATAGAAAGATTGTTTTGGTGTTGAAACTATGTACATCATATAGTTCTAGTTCATCTCTACTTTCCCACTTGAACTTTATTTTTAAAAGTCTTGAGCAAAGTAGGACTTTGAAATGCATAATCCATTAAAGGCTATAAAAGTATTTTCCAGAATTTATATTAATTGTCTTATGTTATTAAAATTATGCTTTGTTTACTTGCAGTAGTTATTTCAAGGACCAAAAAGAATTCTCTTTTTCTGTGTACAAAGTTGTATTTGCAGACAGTATTAGATTAGAAGAAAATTGTATTAAACTTTAAAAAAGTAATTCATTCTTTTACATTGATCCTAGTACTTTCTATTTTTGTAATTTTTAGATAGTGTCTATGTTTCTTGTTATTGAAAGAATTAGGAAGTAGAACTACAACGTTTTACATATTACTGCCATAGCCTAAGAGCAAAAGTAGCAGTTAAATTTAATGCAGAATTCTTCTGGAGATGAGCATGCACAGTGTTCATACAACATATCAACTTGCATAGATGCAGTCAGAGAGTGTGTGTGCCTATGTGTGTGTATATATGTATCCATATGCACTTTCCAACAAAGACAACTGGAAGAGATTCTCAAATTGGAATAATTACTGAAGTTGAAAATATGGCAGTATTTCCCAAATTAAAGTCCTCAGATATAGTCTTGTGGACCCTTGAGCTTTCAATTAATTTCAAATAATGTCAAAAAATAATGAAATCATGTCCTGAATTTTGCCTAAAAGCTAAAACTAAATACAGTTCTGCAGTTTTACTTGCCACATTTATATTTGAGTTTATGATAAAGCAAGCACCAAAGTGTATTTACGATAATTGTCCAGAGCTAATGAAAAAAAAAAAAACAACAAAAAGAACAGAAAGAGACTATGTAAATTATGCCTTCCTCTCAACGGAAGGCTAAATCATGCCCCTATTCTCTTTGTGGAGGCAAGTTTCACAGTCATTTGAATGCAGAAGAATAATGGGCGAAGTACCAATCATGTAATATATGTTGGAATAGGCCTATCAAATGCAAAAAGTCCTGTACTGCAACAGCCGATCCCATGTTGATGTTACAAGAGGTAATTTAGTTATAGGACAATAGTATCATCCATTACATCAAATTAATGTTGTTAAATTTAACTTTATTTTTATGGTTTTCTTTGTATTTCATAACTCTCTTGGCTTCTGATTATATTATCTGAACATAATAAATTTAAGGCTACATTTATTTTTGTGCAGTTAAGTAGCATGATAATGAAAATAACTAAATTTGGTACCAGCAAGCTTGAAATATTTTCTTTTAATAGAGGCCTGGGCTGTAGGATTTCTGATATAACTGGAGTGAAAATTTGATTTCTAAAAATTCCTATGTGTGTACCCTCTATTCTTATATTTTGTGCTGATCATGTTGTTAAGTTTTGCTTGCAAAATATTAATTTGAAAAGTCCTTGTTCTTTGGCCCTCTGACCTAATTTTTTTTTTCTTTTTAGTCTTCTGAAATTTTTCCTCATTAATCTGTAATTGACACTATCCACAGAAGCTTTTTTCTGTTATGTTGTCATGGTAACAGATGCATCTCGAGCACTTCCAGAGTTTGGAGAAGTTGAAATCTCTTCTCTGCCAGATGGTACTACCTTTGAGGATATCAAGTCACTGCAGAGTCTTTATCGAGAGCACTGTGAGGTAAGTCTTTTCAAACGTGGTATGAACATGCGCTAAGTTTTGCCAGAAACTTTGTTAAAGCAAAATAATCAAGCTTTTTCCTAGAGTACACATGAAGTTAGTACTAATTCTTTTGAGCATTTCTTTGAGCACTAATAAATTCATTTTTCTTCTTTCTTGTCTCAGAGTTGAGAGGTGAGGAATGCAGGAAAGTGAGAGTACATTTTATTCTCCATTTCTTAAGCCTATCCTAATCTGAATCCTTTGATGCAGCAATTCCACTTCTAGGTATTTATCCTACAAAAATACTTACATATGGGTGACAAGACAAGTGTACAGGGAATTTGCTGCATTATTCTTTTTAATTTAAAAGGTTGGCTATATCTAATACGGAACTAGATAAAAATCTGGTACTGTACAGCCAGAGAACAGACAACTCTAAATATACTAAAATGGAACAAGTGCCAGGATTTAATGTTAAAGGAAAAATCATAGTGTAAAACTATATGTAGCATATTTTCTTTTAAGTTCTTTCTCCAGAAAGACAAGAGAATGTTAATAGTGATTGTCTTTATAAAGGAAACCAAGTGACTGGGAATCAGAAGACTGATTTTTTTAGTGTGTCCTTTATCCTTTTGAATTTGACACCATGGTGTATTTCTATTAAAAATGATTTCTAGAAATGTTCAATAAAGCACTTCAGGTTTTCCTTCGAGGGAGCATGAGGCTCTAATTTTGTTTCATTTTTTGGGGTCAATTAAGTTTCTCTTGGTGTTTTTGATCCCTGTTCCTATTGTCCTTCCCACATGATGTAGTCTAGAAGGTGAGCTCTCTGCATGCCAGCATATTAATAAATCTGCAGCTCACCTGGTAGGGAAGGCATCATGGATTACAGAGTTTTCTTAAGTGCTTCTTCTTTTGGAAGAGGATTCTATTTAGAATTTAAATAGCTGTATTCCAAGGATATTTGTTATTTGCTTAAAAGTTGAAGATTATCCGTTGAATATCTGGGATAGTCCTCCTGACTGCTGACAATGCAATGTGCAGTAAGAAGTTTCAGCTTATAACACTCACAGATTTTTTTTCCCACTCCAGAAATAAGAATTGCTTGGGTGAATCGAAGTATTCGTCAAGGATGCTAAGTTATTGACAACCAGGGTGAATTCTCTCCATATTAGCAGAGTATGTGCCAGAAATGTTCTTCAGTATTCCCTACCAGTTCCCAACATTTCTTTGCATGATGAAAGCTACTTAGTGTCATTTACCTTTGACTGCTGTGCTTTCGCCAAGATGAGAAAATTTCTGGATTATCCTTATATACATGGGGAAAAATTCTTTCTACAGCTGTCATCCAATTCAATGAAAGTTTGTGTACAATTTTTTCTAAACAAGTTTTTGTTTCTCTGTGCTCAAATGAACACTGCTTTAAGCAACCAGCCTGTAAAAATATAGTTTGAATTTTTAAAAAAAGTTTCTCATATTTATTCAGAATGTAAGTTTGAGCATAAATATACAGTAAGATTATTTACTTCCTAAAGAATTGCAGTATGATTATTCTAAGTAAGAGACTCCTCCATTAAGGTGAAAATATGTTTTGGATTATAAAGCTTTCATGAACATACCAATTGTCAGGAATAAATGTACTCTGCATGAAGAGATAGGACATGTATAGTAATTAATCTGTGTGGGAAATGATGGCCCATAAAATAATCCCTATTCATTTCAAAGTCACAAGTGTCTGTGCCACTTTTCATGGGGTGGGTGGTGTACATAGAAAAGAAATACTCTAATTATTTTTCCTCTCAGACTTTTACATTTTTGAAATACAGCTCCCTAAATCTCATGTCCAATCCTGTAAATAATCCTTTGCCCTAAGGCAGTGAAATATGAATTATTTTAATTTATATCTTAAAGTGGGTGGACAAATAATAAAATGTTTTATTCATTTGTAAAACTGCCTCAAATGAGGTTGATGTTGATGTCCTTTTCAAAAGAGTTATTTGAGATTATTTAATTCAAGGATATATTGAATACAAGATGCATTGAACCCCTTTATTTTGCCTTACTTTATTGCACATTTCCTACAGTTTATATTTTTAAAGAAAGAGTAATAATCCTACTTTGCTTATTATTTGGAATTCTCATAATTTGTTTATCAAAGATTTTATAAATGTCACTAGTTTTGTTATATAAGGAGCAAGTACAATTTTCTACACAATTTGCTCCAGCTATATGTTTTTCTTTTAACATATACATAGATAGTGTTCTTACAACAGTCTCATAGTAGAGGTATGTAAAATATAATAGCTGCTTCACACTTAGAGATATCTCTTGGTATGCCTAAACTGCATTTTTGGAAAGCAACTATAATAATTTGCTTTTGGAGAAAGTTTTTATTTTTGTTTGGGCTAAGGGACATCTGTATGTCCTTTATTTTTAGGGCTTGTTTTAATTTTTACTAACTTTTTTTTTTTTTTGAGATGTGGTCTTGCTGTTTCCCAGAGTGGTCTTGAACTTGCAATTCTCCTTTCTCAGCCTGCTTAGTAATTGGGAATACAGACAAATGCTACCACTCCCTGCTCAAAGCTCAGTTTTATATTTCTGAATGTTGCTGAGGAATGTATTGACTTCATTTTCACTGTCCAACTAACTACTTGCAGCATTCCCTACTCATTCCCAAAAGAGTAACTCTAAACAGATTTTTTTTTTTTAATATTTGAGTTAGCCTTAGGTTTTTAAGTCAGCTATTCTGTGTATCATGTATAGGGCTATCGCTACATAAATAGCACCATTCTATAATTATTAAATTATAGAATATAAATTATTGTTCTTTTTGCCCAAAATATTCAGACAGACTCTACTTGGCCCATTTTCTCTGCCTTCCGTGAATTTTGAAGATCTTGATGGGGCTCTTTTACGTATTCTGGTTCTCAATTTTTGATGACTCCACATTATACATGCATATAAGTTACCTCTGTCTTTAAAGGCTCAAAATATTCACAGAATCGTGTGTCTTTTCATAAATAAGTGTCCTTTTGGACATTCATATGCATAAGCACGACAATAATTTATAAATTAATTGTAATGGTAGAGTGAGATTAAATCTGGTCATCATCATAGTTAATAGAAAAAGTAATATATTTTAGCATCATTTAATAAAAAGCACGAAGAAAATAAAGAAAAGGAAAATTCCTTGATGCATCTGGAAAATGGTTCTAAAAACTAAAATTAAGGAGAAAATGAAGGTGAGGACCCTTGGGATAAAAAGGGGTTAGTCTTAAAGCTGCTCTCTACAGGAAGTGTGCAGAGATGGGTTAGATTCTTTGATGTTAAAGGGAAAGCATTGTGTGACCAAAGGAGGGTGCTTCTTGTATCCTTTTCTACCCAGTTAGGTGCCATCCTCTGAAGGCCTGATGACTGTATACTTTGTTAAAGCCTCTCTCTGGCTAGGAACATCCTGGTCAGTGGCCTTAGAAGAGTTAATTCAACCCTAACTCCATTTTCCATAGAGAAGCACCTCTGCACTCTTGTGCCCCATTGATGACCGGTCCTAGCCAAAGAGGACAAATGTGAATTGATCACTTGCTATACTGTTCCTGGTCTGAGAATAGATAGAGGCAGAAGGAAGCAGCAGGTAAGGGAACAAAAGAAAAATAAGGAAGAAAATGGAGAAAAGAAAAACAAGCATAAAAATGGAGAAGAAAAGAAAGGTGAAAGCGAGGCTAGGATATGATGCCATTATAGAAGGAATACAAGTTATCCTGCTTAATTTTACAAGAGTTATTTTTCCTTTCATTTTCTAGTTAATCACTTTGTTTACTTCCATTGGTAAAATTTAGTTCAGTTTCACTATTTGTTAACTTATGAACCCAATGAGATATTTACCATATAAAGTCTCATTAGGCTCTTTCACCTACCCGGTAAGTAATATTGTGAGGTAATACTGATACCATTTTGTTTTATAGGCAATATTGGATGTTGTTGTGAATCTTCAATTTAGCTTGATAGAAAAATTGTGGCAAACATTCTGGCGCTATTCTCCCTCTACTCCAACTGATGGCACTACTATTACCGAATCAAGGTCAGAATCAATATGCTTTTCCAATTCATTTTCATGAGTGAGTAGGTGTTACAGCTAATGAATTAGAGATATGTATACCAGTTGTGAACCTTACTGATAAAATAAAGTGAATAGATTAATGTTTTGGCCATCCTAGAAATAAACCACAAACTGCTCTCTTGAGGTTTCAGTGTGTGTGTATATATATATTTATACACACACACATATAGCTCCCATTTTTATTGATATGGGGGACTACAGTAGAGCTATTTCATCCTCATGAAATTGCTATCATATCTGCCTTTCAGACCATCAGAAAATTTTAATGTGTATAGGCAGCTCTGGGGGAATATATATATATATATATATATATATATATATATATATCCAGCCATATGGCACCAGTACAGTGGTGGTATAGTTCTAACCTCAGTAATATTTGATAAACTATTTTTAAAGTCCATTTTCTTTTTTATCCTCATTTGCCATCTATTCATTTGCTACATTTATTCACACCAGCAATCTGAGTGAAATAGAAAGTCGACTACCGAAAGCAAAGCTGATAACTCTGTGCAAACGTGAGTCTATTCTGAAATGGATGTGTAACTGTGACCATGGGATGTACCAGGCTTTGGTGGAGATTCTCATCCCAGACGTCCTTAGACCTATTCCTAGTAAGTTAAATGCAGACAACTACAGATGCTTTTGTTCTGATACATTCCACCCAGGAAGTTTGGGGAAGTGACATTGCAATCTGGAATGATCCTAATTTTTATTTAAATTTGTCAAATAGAAAACATGCAACAGAGAATATTGCATGAAAGCAGCCTAGAGCAAAACTGTAGCAAAAGGGGAAAATGATCTGTTTTCCAATCTTTAACTTTCTTTTTGATTAAAAAAGTCAACCTAGAGATGTGCCAGCCCCTATAAACTAATTGTAAGAACACTCCCATTTCAGGCAACCATGAAAAATTATTTTACTCAAGGACAAGTTCCCCTTCATATAGCAAAAAATTGCTAAAATCTGTAATTGCAGATCAGTCCCTTCCATAGTTACCTTTGATGTGAAATGAATTTATCTTGGTCTTCAGTGAAGTTTAATTTCTTAAAAAAAGCATTTTCTTCGTCACCTACATCATGTTAAGAACTATAGACTTGGTTCCTATTAACAATAATGGTTAACTGGTATTTTAAGAGAAAAATCTATGTAACTACACAAGCATTGTATTTCCACTATAAAGCAAGTAGGAATTACATAGATAGCTTAGATTACCTTTTTAAATGATGGTGCTTTTTAAACTGCCTTGTTACAAACAAAGCTATTTTCTCCAATGATTAGTAAAAATGCTATTACAGATACTGATAGAAGCAGTTGAAACTATTTTTTGCCTGCATCAGTATAAGCATATAATGGTGATCCTTTACTTTTAAAGAAATGGTACGGTTTCCACTATTCCCTGACATTAATAAAGTAAAAGCATTCTTTTGGCTTGTGAAATTGGCGATTAAGTATGCACTTCAAGTACACTGTTCACAGATGATTTTTGTTAATTTTTTTAAGAAAGCATATAAATGTAGTAGAAGAAAAGGGAAAGATGTTATATGTTTATACTTCTCCCCCTAAATATGACAGACAACAAAAAGAGGTATGAATTCCCCACCACCTTAAAGTAGATGCTTAGATATATTTACATATAATATCAATGAACACCCTTATAAATTTATGAAGTAATAAGTGAAAACAGAAGAAATCCACTGACATCGTCCCCAATTTTTATAAATTGCCAATGTGTTTCTTATTATCTGCACCAAGCTTCCTGACTAAAGAGTGATGAAAAGTGATATTGTCATGAAAAAATTTCACTATGTAAATTCTTTACTGGTTTATGCTCCAGAATCTGATTCCCTTGTTTCTCTCCTGCTCCCTGTGCTCTGGGTGATTATCTCTAGAGATGTTTAAGAGAAGCTGCATAGGGTAGGCGCATTAGCCTATAATATCTTACTGCTAATATACACTTTTCCTCATGAAATACAAGAAGACATGGTAGTGAGTGCTTTCTTTTTTGAGGCAAATCAACATCAATATTCATTAAATTGTTTTGAAATATTTTGTTTCTGTACTAGCATCATAAGACTTTGTGACCTTAACAGTGCTCTAATTTAAGTCATGTATCAATTTTAGTTGACTTTAAGTCTTAGAATTTTAAGTACACAATACAATTGTCCTTTGTCTTGCAAATTTTGATTTGAAAAACAGTTTATTCTGTATTTGGTCTCTACACTTAGCAGAAAACTGAATAACTTCTCTGAAATTATGAAATGTATTTCATGTACCATCCTACCAAATTTAATTCCCGTTCTGCAATGAGGCTTAACAAAATTAAACTTCAAACACAATTTAAATATCTGTCTTCTAATTGTATGAATTTGAATACTAACCTTGAGTAGGTTGAGACAAGTTAGTTTTGGAATAAATTTTAAATTTCAAGCCATATATTCATTGTAAGTCTTAAAGTTGTTGGAATCAGTCTATACAATTTTGATCTTACGTGAATCCCTATACAGCAAGCAAACTTAATTTTATATTTAAAAAATTGTATTTTCCTGGCTACTAGTACTTCACTCTACCATTTTCTGTCCAGATGGGATTTCTTTTATTAACCAAAAAAAATAAAAAAGTCTGCACATCACACTAATTTAAAGTCAGCTTGAAGCTACTGTATTCTAAAATACATTTATCTGAAAATGAAAAAAATAAGTATAAAATATTGTATAAGAACTCAACTGGCCATACTTAAATGTGCTATTATGAATATAATTAAAGGCGACCTAGAATGTCATTTAGTACAAAAACAGTAAAACCTTAAAATTATTTAAAATACATGGGCTGGGGTTGTGTCTCAGAGGTAGAGAGCTCACCTGGTATGCATGATGCACTGGGTTTGATCCTCAGTATCACATAAAAATAAAATAAAGGTATTGTGTTCACCTACAACTAAAAAATAAAATTTAAAAACTTATTTAAAATACAGAGTACATATTTTTATTTTATTATCTTCTTCACATAAAGTTTGTATAGATAAAATAAGGCCCATATAAATTTTTTAAAATAATATATAGAGAGTCTCATATTTTTAGATTAAATAAATATTAAATATTAATAGTAGGAAACATGGAAAATGCAAATTGCCAAATTGAATCGTGAACAAAATTTTACTGAGTTTCAAAAGGTTGTTAAGGTTTTTTCACTCTCTTTCATTTCCATTCATGCCTGCACTCCATGGTTCTAGTACATAGCACAACAGAAAGATATTTTTCTTTCTTTTTTTGGCTAATGTGGGAAACTTTTGAGATTTCAAAAGATCAGTTCTCAAGAAATTTCTGATTCAGAGTTTCCAATTCTCATGGTTAAAAGTCCACACTTCTTGAGTGTTTTCCTAATCAAAATTTAGGTCATTTCAGTCTCTTCTGTCATTTGACCATTAAATAGATCTTTTTAAAATACTTAGTTGTTTTTTTTTTTATTGGAATAGAAAACTTTATATCCTTTGCAAATAATTTAAGTGAGTCAAAATATTTTTAAAATCTATTTTTACAAAGGTAATAGAGCACAGAAAGAAAAATCAAATAATTTAATCCTATCATTGATGTTATATTCTTGGGAGCAGTTGGCCAAAAATGTAACTTCTTAATTTCTAATAGTAGACTATAATATTTTATATCTACCATATAGTAGGAAACATGCAGAAATTAATTTTATGTTCTGAGTTCTTGAAGCATTTATTCATTAAATA